GAGAAACCAAATGAAAACACAGAAAAACTGAAATGAGAAGAGAAAAGTTTAGATTAAAGTAACTTCCCTCTTGGAGTTTTTTCTGGCCTGATTTCAGGGCCTGCCTCTTAGTTATGCAATATGTTCTGATTCATAAATTTTTGTGAAGGTTCAGCCTGTGAATAAATCCTTTATCCTGTTTGAAAGGCTCTGTGAGGTTGGATTTTAGAAACTCTGCTGAAGGGGCGGCCAAAGGCAGTCTCTGAGTTCTGATCACTGTAGCTCCCCTCACACACCTCAGGTTTCTATGCCGGGAAAGTCCGATGTTTTCTCCCAAGGAGAAAGAAATCCACCCATGACTCAGCTGCTCTCTGTACGGGCGGCTCCTAATAGGCAATTCTCATCTCCTGGGTCACTGGCAGGTCCTCCTTACCAGAGGCTCTAGGGCCCCGGGCGAATGAAGGTTCAGCCTGTGAATAAATCCTTTATCCTGTTTGAAAGGCTCTGTGAGGTTGGATTTTAGAAACTCTGCTGAAGGGGCGGCCAAAGGCAGTCTCTGAGTTCTGATCACTGTAGCTCCCCTCACACACCTCAGGTTTCTATGCCGGGAAAGTCCGATGTTTTCTCCCAAGGAGAAAGAAATCCACCCATGACTCTGAGCTGCTCTCTGTACGGGCGGCTCCTAACAGGCAATTCTCATCTCCTGGGTCACTGGCAGGTCATCCTTACCAGAGGCTCTAGGGCCCTGGGTGACCCACTATTGATCTGGAGGCCTGAGGCTCTCTTTGCGTGTTCCTTTTCCTCCTGGATCTGCCTCGTGGTTGATGATGAGACACGTCACTATCTCTAAGACTCACCCATTACTCCTGGGTGAACTGGTTGAATGAGAGGCCTCAAAGCACTCTTATCCGTCCTGGCCTGGTAGCTCAGTTGGTTGGAGCATCATCCCGTACACCAAAAGGTTGTGGGTTCGATTCCTAGTCAGAATATGTACAGGAGGCAACTGATGGATGTTTCTCTCTTTTTCCCCCTCTCTCTAAAAATCAATAAACATATCCTTGGGCGAGGACAAAAACAAACCACAAAAGAATAATCCTTCTTGTCCTTCCATAAAACACCAAGACATCTTCCTGTCTCAACTAATCAAGTGGTTAGTCAAAAAGCACTTAACCTCCTTAAGTGCTGGCCTAACTGTCCAATGTTTGTGACTGTGGATGATTTCCAAAGCAGTTATAATTGAACTTCCAACTCACAAGGCTAGGAAAACTTTTCTCAAGAGACAGACTATACAATGGCAAGTATATTACACATTAATTAGGGGCAGTCAGATTTCATGGAGCAGGATACACACAGTCACAAAGAGAAGATCCCCTTAGTCCTAGGTAGGAAAGCATTTGAGATTCTGGTTGTGCTGCATGCTTTGGACACAACATGAGCAGAGAGAAGAACTTAACGGACTTAAAGGTTAACTGGCACGTTAGTAGCATGCCATACATGCCAAGGGTGGTTAGAAATGCACAGGAGTGGTGGGGAAGATGACAGTCAGAGCTCAGGTTAGAGCTTTTAGTTGACACAGTGATGATAGAAGGGGGAGGAAAAAGTGAAAAAGGAGAAAGGACACAAAGATGGTAAACAGGTAAGTGCCATCTCAGAACGTAGGGACAAGACAAAGTTTCAATAAAGTTGAAATGCTATTTTTGTGTTTAAGGAATAAAAGCAAGGAGGAAAAGGTCAAACGAGGTTATCTGGGACTTGAGCAGGTTAAGAAACAATTCTGACATTTAAGATAATCTAACTCATCAAGATTATATAAAACACTAACATTTTGTCCTTTAAACTGACAAAATAACCAAGTTTTTTCTAGACCTTTTTTTTTTGCCACTGAAGAATTTAAATAGCCACATTGAGAGAATGATAAATGAGAAAACATATGCATAAAATCCGACAATCCTGCTCTCTCAAACACACCAGTCTGTGTGTGACATTGAGTGTCATTGCTAATGAACGATGAACTATTCAGCCCTGTCCCCTTCATTCAGATGGAAGCACTGACAGTACAGTTTGCTAGGGCTGCAAAAGCCAAGTACCACAGACGGGGTGGCTTAAACAATATAAGTTTATTGTCTCACAAGTCTGGAAGTTAGAAGTCTAAGATCAAGGTGTTGGCAGGCTTGGTTTCTTCCGAGGCCTCTCACCTTGGCGAGTAGATGACCATGTGCTCCCTGTGTATTCACATGGTCTTCCCTCAGTGTGTCTGCATCTCAATCTCCTCTTCTTATAAAACGCAAGTCATATTGGATTAGGACCCCCCCCACCACCACCACCAAAGACCTAATTTTAACTTACTTATCTCTTTAAAGACCCCATCTCCAAATACAGTCACATCCTGAAGTCCTGGTGGTTATTCAGCCCATAGCAGACTCTAAGGAGGTAGAGACCAGGACAGGATCTTCGTCTCCTGTTTCTCCCATCACTTTTGAGACACCACTCCTGGCTGAGAGCGCTGTAGGTGGAGAGTGTTCCCAGCCTCCCCTGAGGCCAGGAGTGATTTCTTCCTTTCAGAACCCATTGTTGGGTCTAGGTCACAGGGGTCCTCAAACTGTTAAACAGGGGGCCAGTTCACTGTCCCTCAGACCGTTGGAGGGCCGGACTATGGTTTAAAAAAAAACTATGAACAAATTCCTATGCACACTGCACATATCTTATTTTGAAGTAAAAAAACAAAACGGGAACAAATACAATATTTGTATTTGCATGTGGCCCGCGGGCCGTAGTTTGAGGACCCCGGCTAGGATTTGACTCAAGCAACAGCCAGAGGGAGCCTGCAGCCGTCTGTCCCTTCCTTTCTTCGGTGACAAAACTGCACTTTCTAAGTGGATACAAGATCTAGGGCAGCTGCATCTTTGAGGTGTATCTGTCATTTCTCTGAGAAATATGAAACCGTCCCAAATTTTATCTCCGCCTTCTAAAATGTGACACACTCGCCACCAGCCACACCTGGGACAATATTATGCGGCACATAAACAGGGTGTTAACTTGCAGCGAATCAAACTGTGAAAAAGTTACTCCCTTTTTATCTTTTTTCCCCCAGTTATTTGATTAAATAAAAAAGAAATGGTCAGGTTGGGACTAATATATCTTTAACACCTATCAGTAATCTTTCTTTTTAACGAAGAGAGTAGATCTTAGGGCATAGACTTTAGCAAGCAGAAAGACCTATCTGGAACTTAGTAACATTGTTTAGTCTCCATTATATTTATTTTTATACTTAAATTCTAGAACCAGAGAGGTAATAACAGTGTTCATTTACCTTTTAAAATTAATCTGTATTAAAAACTGACTTAATTTAAAGGAAACACTAAGGAAATAATAGCACAGGTGACATTAAATGTGGAAAAAAATGTCTAGGCAAGTTGCAAATGATTGAAATTTGGGAAAACCTACTTTATTTGTTTTAATTTTTCCAGCAACGTATAAGGTAGGTCTTATTTGGCACATTTTAATGAAGAAGAAACTGAGACTCCAAAAGTCTGTTGGTCACGATCACCCGTCCAGTTAGTTACAATCCGAGTGCACATGCAGGTGTGTTTGACTGCAAAGCGAATGCTCTTAACTACTGAACACCACCCCTTGTTCATCAGGCCCACACAGCTTTTTGAGTAAAAGAAGGTAAGTGCTTAAAAGAAAACACCTCGGGTGTGGGAAATGTGACTAAAGGAGGTTTGGGTTTGACTGGTTTGTGAATAATCATTGCGCTAGTCAGTCAATAAACCTGTACAAAGTGTCTGCAATCTTCCGGCCAATAAACTTGGTACCAAATTATGATTTTTCTGGGAGTAACCAAAGACATTAGTTTCCAGACAAGGAAAACAAAAATCAAACAAAGCAAAACAGAACACAAAACCGGGTGATTTGTTTTTCCATGGGGCTCACTAAGTGGTTTGAGAATGATAAAATGACCAAAGGATCACCAGGATTGTCTGTGGCCAAGTATACTGGCCTTCTGTTCTGGACCAGAAAGTAAATATTAATGATCTCCTCTCTAAAAGAACATTGCACCCTAGCTATTTTAAGCATGGGACTTTAAAGAAAAAGGTAGGAGGTTCTCTCATATCCAATCTCTGCCTAGCATGAGTTTCTTAATGTTGGCAATAGTTCCCAGTAATTTTGCCAGAAAAGTCATTGCAGTCTTTTAAAGACTTTACCTAGGAGGACTGCCAAGACAGAAAATTAAAACTGTGACAGAAACCAAATCCAACTCACTCATGCTCTCCCTCTCCACCCACACATGGTGCCATCTATTAGAAAATGAGGTATTCTCTTTTTAAAAAAAGATGTTTTATTAACTTTTTACAGAGAGGAAGGGCAAGGGATAGAGAATTAGAAACATCGATCAGCTGCCTCCTACACACCCCCTACTGGGGATGTGCCCGCAACCAAGGTACATGCCCTTGACCGGGATCAAACCTGGGACCCTTGAGTCCGCAGGTCGACACTCTATCCACTGAGCCCGTGGTCGGCAAACTGCGGCTCGAGCCACATGCGGGTCTTTGGCCCCTTGAGTGTGGCTCTTCCTAAGCCTTAGGAGTACCCTAATTAAGTTAAGAACAATGTACCTACCTATATAGTTTAAGTTTAAAAAATTTGGCTCTCAAAAGAAATTTCAGTCGTTGTACTGTTGATATTTGGTTCTGTTGACTAATGAGTTTGCCGACCACTGACCAAACCATTTAGGACTGAGGTGTCCTCTTAACTGAAGAACTTACATGGGGAAGAGATCAACCAAAGAACTTGTATGCATATCTGCATAACCCATGGACACAGACAGTAGTGTGGTGAAGGCCGGGAGTGGGGTGGGGGGAGGGTAGGGGGGGGAGAGAGGGGAAAAATAGTGGATATCTGTAATACTGTCAACAATAAAAAAAAACTTTTTTAAAAAATAGAAAAAAGAAAAAGAGATGTTCTGAGAACTTATACCTACTTGTTAGCCACTGACCACGTGAGGATGAACAATTTCATACTTTCTATAGCGCCAGAACAGCAGCAGGGAAGGGGGAGTCAGATGCTTCTCTTCAACCTCCTTCATCGTAGCCACATCCACAAGGACACAGAAGTCCAGCAGCAGCTGCCACAGATTGGCCCCTCTGACCTTGTGAATCTCCCTCTCCAGCGCGGTCAAACAGCAGCAGAGTTTGCTCGCAAACAGAGGCCCTTTCTGTTGGGTCAATGTGGGAATTTCTCTCTACATCTTTCTTCTCTGTGAAGGTTCCCGACCTTTCCAGGAGCACCTGGAAACTTCTGATTAAATATTCCCTGTGGTACATTGGTACTGACTGCCACCCTCCAGGGCACAGTTCCTGCATGCCTAAGCAGACAGAATTATTTGCGATTCTATCAGACTATACCACCCACTCCATCAATAGACCTGGACAATTTGATCATAAAAGCTATTTTTAATATCCTCCAAAAAAATTTGGGGGACCACCACATGATCACATTTATTCCCTTAATATTGGTTGAGGTGATCTGTAATGATTAAAAATTATGAAATAGGGAGTCCTTCTAAGTGATTTTAAAATTTATTAATCCCAAAGCAACTACATATGTTTCTGAAATAAACCATATATGTTTGAGGCAGGTTAATTATTCAGTCTAAAGAACAAATAAATTCTCGGAAAAAGGCTTTCCAAGGAATCTTCACTCTGAAGGTTGAAAAACATTACATTATGTCATGGGCTCTTTGAGGAAAAAGCTTTGTTTTGTCTAGCTTTCTATCCCTGATGCCTACCCCAGTGCCTAGTCCATAACAGGTGCTTAATCAGAAACAGATATTTGGGAGGAGTTTTGTTTTAGTTGGCACTTGTGACACTCGTGGAGCATTTATCATGTTCCAGACACTGTTCTCAGTGCTGTACATGCAGTAACTTAATTAAACGTCAAGAGGGTAGATATTCTTCCATCCAAATTTACAGATAACAAAACCGAGGTTCAGAGATCTTCAGCAACTTACTCAAGGTCATACTGCAAAGAATTTTGAAAGCTAGGATACAAACTAAGATTTTATTGTTGTTGTTCTTTCTGTGTCTTATATGTAATGTCCTGGAGTCCACAGCTATGGGTGTTCAGTGGGGCCTTGGGCCCTGCTGACTGCGACATTAATGGGATGTCCCTGGGCAACTCCCCCACACATGAGGAGGAATGAGGGCCCTTCATGAAGAGGCGTTAATCTCCCTGGCTACTAAGGAACAGTTTCACAAACATGCATCACAGTGTGTCTATCCTGCCAGTCCCGACCTGATGTATCTCATATGTAAGCTCTCACCTGGTTTTTAAGGAGAATGAGAGACTTGCAGGAATGATTGAATGAATGAATATCCATTCTTGGAGGAAGACTTTAAATGACATCAATTACTTATCTGGCTGTGAGGCTTGTGGCTACATTGTAAATCCTTGCATGAAAGAAAAATTATGTCAAGGCTTTATTTCTAGAGGTTGAAGAATCAGAACCCATTAGTGAAAGAGACAAAAAGACACGAGGCAGAGAGAGGCAGGAGGCAGGGGCCAGCCCAACACGGTCAGTCTGACTCCACTGTGTCCCTTTGGCCCTGCGTACACCTGAGAGCAGGTACTTTGGAAGATGCAAAGAGAAATGTGGTGGCACCCAGCTCTCGAAGAGCTCATGATGGATTAGAGAAGGTGAAACATGTACATTAATAAACACAAGACAAGGCCAAATGGGACCTGTGTTTAAAAAAACAATCCAGAGAAAGATTTGAACCAAGTGTTCTGGGAGCACAGAGAGGGGTCAGAGGACTTCCAGCAGGGAAGCAGGAAATGCCAACCTCTGAACAAGCTGTGTTTTGATTAACAGAGATTAGAAAGGACAGACAAGCGAAACTCCGGAGGTGTGGTGGAGGGTGGGAGGGGAACTGGCAGTTCATCCTGGTTGATCAAACAGTGGCTGTGCACTGGCCAACTCTGGGCTAATCTTTATTTAGCTGTAAATTATTGTTTGTTTGTTTTTGTCAAAAACAAAGGTTGTAAAGGTTGTATTTGCATGTCCTGAGGGAGGACGTGAGCTTTGTATCTGTCATCATTCTCCACCGTCAGACCTACTGGCTCATCCACATATTCATGTTACCGGCCGTTTGCTGGGTTTAGGATGGGTGACCCCTGCACTAAAGCAGGGGGTGTCTTGGGGCTTGTTGGGGAACTAGGACATAGGCAGGAATTCTCAACTGGGAATTAAGGCAGGCAAGGGGTGCGTGTGTGGAGGGAAATTGAATTTGATGGGGGAGAGGGGGATGTACCTTTATTTTTACTAACCTCTCATTGAAATTCAGCATTTCCTTTTGTTTCAAATGTGGGCAAAAAAAAAAAAAAATCACAATAGTATCAGCATTATGTGTGACTGTCACCAATACAACTCACAGATCATTTCATTCCACATTATAGTTGTTGCAGATATCTGAAACTACTGTTTCTACCCACCATCACTTTGAAAGTATGGTATTTTCGAGACTTGTGCTAGCTCTTTTATTTAATGAATTAATAAAGAAGTACTTATACTACAATATCACAAATTTTATAATATTTTAATATAATGTCCATATAATTGGTTTCTCTTGTATTCTTATGTTTTTTATTTTTCTGCATTTAAACAGATTGCTCTGAGAAGGAGGCAGTAGTTTTCACCAGATCACCAAAAGGGTTCATGATACAAAACAGGTTACAAATCTTTGCCAAAGGTAGCTTGGGAGCATAGAGCAGGGAGCTTTAAATATCTCCTTTAGCCGTGTGAATACAATCTTATAGATAAAGGGAAACTACTGAAGTGTTTTTTCTTTTTTGGGAGGCGTGGGGGGTGGATTAATATGTCAGTTATTACTTTTTAATAATCTGATTGGAGCATAATTACTTTTAATCAGTTTATTGTGGTATAATTAAATTGAGGTATAATTACAATTAAGTACATCCCTTTCAAGTGTAAAATTCAGTAAGTTTTGACACATGTATATACACACATGGAACTACCAATACAATCAAGATACAATCTGGGTAGAAAGTAAAATTCCAAAATTGCACATCCTGCTCTCCCACCCTCACGGGATCCCCACGCTGAGCTCACAAGTGCAGCAGCGTTTCACTGAGGAGGGAGAGCAGCCACCAAAGCGGTCCAGATACACAAAGGGATGGCACAGTGGAAATCAGAGGCTTAAGTATAGATGTGATGCTCACATGAACAATGTAAGGCAGTCTTCGACTTCCTGTCTATTAATAAAGAAGTACTTATTCTGCAATATCACAATAATTTCTGTAACCATGACCAAGCACAACTTTTTCCTATTTAAGAAAGGGCCGGAATCAGATATCTGTTCTTATCTGTTGATAGCATGTGATCCTGATAAACATATTTGCACATGCACTGATGATACCTGTTTTATATTAGCCACAACTTAAGCTGTATCGTGTTGGGACTTGTGAAAACAGCAGACATTCATTTAAAAAAAAAAAAAGTCACTCATCACCCTCTAGGACTTTGGGAAATCGGCGCAATTTGATTTGTCGGGCCCTACAAACATTTTTACCAAGATGGCATAAGGCAAAGGAAAAAGTCACAAAGCTGTTTGCATTCGTTGTTACTTTGGCTGCATTAAGGTAAATCTCTACTACCCTAAAGTAAATTAGCCTTTTCCCTTTTAAAGACAGAGAAGCTAGGGAAAAAAAATTATTCACTTTAGAATAGCTCTCTTAACCCTCTTAAATTTTGAAGTTACTGTTGAACTCTCTACACATATATTTTTAAAAATATATTTTTATTGATTTCTGAGAGGAAAGGAGAGGGAGAGAAACATCAATGATGAGAATCATTGATCAGCTGCCTCCTGCACGCCCCCTATTGGGGATCAAGCCTGCAACCTGGGCATGTGCTCTAACTGGGAATCAAACCGTGACCTCCTGGCTCATAGGTCAATGCTCAACCATTGAGCCATACTGGCCGGGCTCCAAACATTTTTAGGGTGTGAAAGCTTCCAAGCTTCCCAGGGCTAGTTAGCTCCATTCTTCCTCCCAAGACCTTTACTCTGAGCTCCTTCTCTATAGACTGAATGTCTGTGTCCGCCCCGCCCCCCACAAACCCTAATCCCCAATGTAATGGTATTTGGAGATGGGGCTTTTGGGAGGTGATTAGATCATTAGGGTGGAGCTGTATGATGGGATTAGTGCCCTTTTAAGAAAGATAGAAGAGAGCTTGCTTCTCTGTTCTTTCTGCTATGTGAGGATACAACGAACAGGCAGTCATCTGCAAACCAAAAAGGATGCCCTCACCAGACATCAGATCTGCACTGCCTTGATCTGGGACTTCCCAGCCTCAGAACTGTGAGAAATGTTTGAACCAAGAAACAGCTTGAACTAAGAAACTTCTTTAACTCCCAGTTATTACACAGCCATACAAATGCACCTAACACTATACTTGATCATATTTTCTTTTCACTCTTACTAAACTATTCTTGTTCGTTATTCTTCATAAGAGCAAGTTTTCTAGATAATTTAACAATAATTGTAGAGACTGGCCAATGGATTAATGCAAGGTCTGCTTTAGCTCTCAATAATTAATACGTTAATAAGCACAATCATGAGATGTGAGTGAAAGGAAGCTTGAGCTTTGTTTCCCATTGTCTCTTTAAAATATGTTTAGTTTCCAAACCCATCAATACAGAACTCATATTGATAGTCACCCGGTTGGGGGTGGAGGGTGGAGCAGGTAAGAGGATAAGTGAAAAAAGTAAAAGGGATTAAGTACAATTTTCAGTTATAAAAATAGTCACAAGGATATAAAGTACAGCATAGGGAAAACAGTCAATAATATTGTAATAACTGTGTACGGTGTCAGACGGGTACTAGTCTTCTCAGGGTGATCACTTCGTAAGTTATATAAATGTCTAATCACTATGTTGTATACCTAAAACGAATACAATTTTGTATATCAACTAAAACTAAAAAATAAATTAAAAAATAAAATTTAAAAAGTGGTTTAGTTTCCCCTTCCCTGAATAAAATCCAGCATGTTCCATGATTTTTCTGTCC